AAAAAAAAAAAAAAAAAAAAATTACTAGTTGAGTTCATATCCAATCACCCCTAAAACTCTTTCTTGAGCAAAAAATACCATACCTCATTAGTAGATGTCATATCCGCCCAAGAATTAGCGCCATAAACAGGTAAGAAGTTCGTTTGAAGATCTGTTTTCAAATTAAGAAAATGAAGAAATATCTCAATTTACATTTCTACAACAAATGAGAATTGAAGAAAAATCTATAATCTATCTATATAATATAATATAACTCTCTTAAAAGAAAGAGTTGTTTCTTGAAACTTTTGAATTGCCAAGAATACCCTCATAAGAAGATAAGTTTTAAGGTTATTAATATAATTTTTTATTAATGTTAGGAAGTTACAACTTTTATTTATTATCTTTTATTTCTTATGCTTAATTATATCTTTAAGTTCTTACACATAAAAAATATTACCTACGCAAATTCATATATTTTAAATAATTATTTATTCTTAATTATATTATTATGATTAATCTATATATGACGTTAGGTTTCGATTTGGTTATTTTAAAGGTAGTTCTAAAATGTAAGAGAATTTTTTTTTAGGATTTTTTAAATAAAATTATGATATTTCATAAGTATAAAATATATAATGCACCACTAAAAGTATCATCTTTAATTTCCAAATATCATATTGTTTACCATACAATTTTTTTTTATAGTATTAAAAAAATTAAAGAGGAACAATTTAGTGAACTTGCATATGTTTAAGAATGATTGAATCAAAAGTAATTATTCAACATACAAAATGTGAACTCTCTATGGAAAAAAGTTATTTGTTAAGTAAAAAAAATATGATCTTAACATAAATATTTATTTAAATTATTCAATAAAACAATATGAATATTATGATTTAAGTTTACCTGTAATAATATGTATAGAATAAATGTTCTTTTATAGTAATGTTTTACATAAATTAAAAAAACTCTCTTAAAAGGAAGAGTTGTTTCTTGAAACTTTTGAATTGCCAAGAATACCCTCATAAGAAGATAAGTTTTAAGGTTATTAATATAATTTTTTATTTATATTAGGAAGTTACAACTTTTATTTATTATCTTTTATTTCTTATGCTTAATTATATCTTTAAGTTCTTACACATACAAAATATTACCTACGCAAATTCATATATTTAAATAATTATTTATTCTTAATTATATTATTATGATTAATCTATATATGACGTTAGGTTTCAATTTGGTTATTTTAAAGGTAGTTTTAAAATGTAAGAGAATTTTTTTTTTAGGATTTTTAAAATAAAATTATGATATTTCATAAGTATAAAATATATAATGCACCACTAAAAGTATCATCTTTAATTTCCAAATATCATATTGTTTACCATACAAATTTTTTTTTATAGTATTAAAAAAATTAAATAGGAACAATTTAGTGAACTTGCATATGTTTAAGAATGATTGAATCAAAAAGTAATTATTCAACATACAAAATGTGAACTCTCTATGGAAAAAAGTTATTTGTTAAGTAAAAACAAATATGATCTTAACATAAATATTTGTTTAAATTATTCAATAAAACAATATGAATATTATGATTTAAGTTTACCTGTAATAATATGTATAGAATAAATGTTCTTTTATAGTAATGTGCTACATAAATTAAAATAGCATTTACTGAATTGTACTATAAACAAAAATAGATTAATTACATGAATAAAATAAAATAACTAATATTCTATTTTAAATCTTGAATTTCATAATATGTGTACTTATTAGAAAATAGTTACAATTAAAATTAATGAATAAAAATAAATAGTAAATTTACTTTAAATTTGTTGTCTTTAGCATATCTTATTTATAAAATCATTCATAAATTAAATGTTTCAAATCACTTCTCAAAAGTAGGGAAAATAAACTATATAAAATATTGACGAAGATATAAAAATAATGTTAAGAGAAAAAAAAATGAAAGAATCCTAATTTTATAATTCATTAAAACTAGACTTATTAAATTTTCACATGATAGTCTTGAAAATTCGTGAACGAAGATAATGCATGTATGACAATTTCAAGAGATACAACAATAAATTATGTTGGACAAGATATATAGATAAATGGGTATCTTTAATCAATAAAGATGCTATTATTCAAGCTTTTTCATGTAATTTTATTTAGAACGAATTATTCAAACATAATGTTTTAGCTTCCAGTCAACAATAAAAAAAGATCATTACAAATTATAGTTATAACAAATTCGAGTTATTTTACAAAGAGTATGATGCAAAAGGATGACATTTGGAAAATTATATTTGATGACAATATTAATGATCATTACTTTAAGCAAAAGTAGGGAAAATAAACTATATAAAATGTTGATGAAGATATAAAAATAATGTTAAGATACAAATAAAATATGAAAGAATATCATTTTATAATTCATTTAAACTGGAATTAGTAGATTTTCACATTTAGGATAGTCTTGAAAATTCAGGAATGATGATAATGGATGTATGACAATGTTAGGAGATGCAACAATAATTTACATCGAAAAAGATATATAGATAGATGGGTATCTTTAATCAATAAAGATGTTATTATTCCTAAGTTTTTTCAAGTAAATTTTTTCTTTAAAATAATTACGACTTTAAAGACATTTTCAAATATTTATGTATTTCTTATGTCATTATGACTAGGGAATAATTATATGTATCTAAGAATTATGAAATATTATACTTGTAAATATAATTAAACTTGCAACCACTGTAATTAAAATAATTGAGAACGAATTTTTCAGACATAGTTTGTTAGCTTCCAATCGACAATAAATAAAAAATAAAATTATAAATTATAGTTATAACAATTTTGAGTTATTTTTGAAAGAGTATGATGCAAAAAGATGACATTAGAAAACTATATTATGATGACAATAATAGTGATCATTATTTTAAGCACATTGAAGATATCATAAAATAACAGAATAAAAAAGGATATAAATTTCTTTACCATTTACGTCTTCACTTAAAAAATATTAACTTTATTTTGGTTTTCAACCAAATGTTTTTTTTATTTAATTTTATTTATCATAGAGTACAACAAATAGTATTAAATACTACATTTCATTATTCAATAAAATACACAAGTTTTTGTTAAACTAATTGAAAGAAAATTATATTATACTATTAAATATAAACCTAATACTAAAAATAATTTGAAAAAAAAAAATACTAATTGAAAGAAAATTATATTATACAATTAAATATAAACCTAATACTAAAAATAATTTGAAAAAAAAATACTAATTGAAAGAAAATTATATTATACTATTAAATATAAACCTAATACTAAAAATAATTTGAAAAAAAAAATCACGTGCGTAGCACGTGCATCTTCCTAGTATCCTAAAAAAGGTAAACTTAATGTTGAATATCCATTCCAATACGCACACAACAAAAATTGGCATGTGGGAGGCGAAAATTACAAAACAAATTAATAAAGTAAAACAACAACAATCTAAGGTTGCAAAAATTATATCTTTAACTTTCAAAATAAAGTGATTTTTTTACTATTTGACATCAATTCTCCATTCAATTACATTAACGACTTAAAATCATTTGTAACATATATGGCTGATATTATTGATAAATGTAACTTAGAATATTGGATAAATATGCAGGAAATAATGGATATTTTCACACAATCTGATGTTTTCATAGATAAAACGGATATGTGACAGTTTTTCCATGAAACAAAAGGAAATTTACACTAAATGACAGTTTTCATGTATAATGGTTTGTGGAATGCGAATAGAACATAATAAAACATAATGCATACATAGAGTGTGCGCCTCAGAAGTGAAAAGGACTAGAACACTCGAAAAAAGTACTAAATTACATGCAAAAATCTTGAGAAACTAAACCTTGATTACAGCCTAGAATCTAAAAATTGTATAGTTCTTTCTTTCTAAATGGTTTGCAAGCACTCGCTCAGCAAAAAACATGTCCGAACAGAACAAAACAAAATACATAAGTAGCAAATGTGTTACTTAAATCACCACATTTTACTGCTAAGAAGAAAGTTTACATCCCAAAACATGTGATTGTATACGAAATTTGCTGGAGAATACACACACACTCATTCACTTTCTCTACCATACTGTAATTGCATCTACTCACAAATTCCAAAAATAAATCATTCGATAACCAAAACATTT